TGCCAGAAGGAAAAGCCCCACCAAAGTTCTAATCCCTTCTGTTACCACCACCAACAAATAAGGTTCTAGGATTAGAATACCTCGTACTAAGAGCCTCATCGCTTCCCCCAATATCTTTATCTGAGGCCAGAGCCCTACCGCTTCTTCCCACACTCTCGAGCACGGGCCCTTGGGCATTTGTTTCTCGACGAAGATCACGCTGGTGTTCCTGAGTTGTTCTTGCTTGCCGACGTTAGCCGAACGATGTCTTCTTAGGGTTGCTCCTCTCCTGGATATCCCTAGGTTTCTTTGTCCTAGTCCAATCACCATAGCTTGCATTGGGAAAAAAAACATTCATTGTTAAGGTGCCCGATTCGCCCACATTAATAGCAAAAATCTTGAAGGTGTTCGTATCAGCTAAGATTCAAGCTGTTAGGAAACCTTTGGCATTGTCCAGATTGTGCAACTTAATAAACTCGCCAACCTCTTTTGCCAATCGTCTACCGTTAGCCTCTATGGTAAGGTTCAGGGGGAGACATTTCATCTGGATCCAAAAGGGAATAAGGTCCAATTTTATTTCTTCCAAGGATAGGTCATTGGGCCACCTTTTAATGGAGAAGTTTTGGTTCATAACACCCTACGGAACTTGATCAATAATCTGGTTTGCCATCCCTTCATCCTTCACAATAACTATGAACATATTCTCCTGGACCTAGTTGAGGAGATGGAATATCAATGGGGAGAAAAAGGCGCACATGAAGGAGGTTAAATCGATGGGCTCTCACAGAGGAGAGAAAAATCTCATAGATGAAAGAGAGCTCTCACAGATAAGAGAATTTTTAAATGAGTAAGAGTTTAAAAATAACAAATTTCGTATTGAAAATTCCATTGTTCTTTTAGGTTAGCTAAAAAAAAAATTCACAAATTATAGGAAATTAAATTCCGTCATTTTAATTTCTGTTATTTTAAAATTCCTTAATAATATGAAATTTCATTATTCAAACAGAGCATTACTTTACATCAAACACTCTCTACACCCATCTTATTTTTAATTTAAACTATTAATATCTCTTTAAACTACTACGGTCTAGAATATTCATCTTCACTTGTAATTGAGAGGTCTTAAGTTCGATTCTCGCTAAAGGTGAATTTGAACCATATTGTTGCTAGCCCATTGTGAGGCTAAGCCTAGGGGTGGTTTGGTATGGGATTCCAAACCAAAAATGAAATCCCAAATCCCAAACCGAAAAATTTTAGGACGAGAATTTGAAGACCAATCTCGAATTGAAATTTCGGTATTTCCAATTTTCGGTATTTAGGGATGGATCGGGATTCCCTAAATATTTTCACAATTCAATTAAAAATAGCTTGCACTTGCAAGTTGCAACCTTGCTTAATTACTTTTCTTGTTCTAAATCTACACAGTACACCAATTGTTGACTTTAATTTGGTATGAAAGCAATTCACACAATCTCTGCGCGCGCACACACACACATAGTAAATAAGTGAAGAGTGATTGAGTGATAGTTAAGATAGACATAGGGAAGGTCGAGACTCGATCGGGTGGGTGGAGAGTTTCAAGTTCAAAGTGAAAGATTAACAGGGTTCGCGAGTTGAGAGAGAGATGTGGCTTAGTGGTTGCTTTAAGTGTTGAATGAGAGATAGAGTGTGAGATAGGGGTTGAAACCCAATATATAGAATATATTCTAACTTCGGTTCAGTTCGGGATCACCGAACGAGTCAAATGGTGAAACCGATTCCCATACCGAATGGTTCGGGATCGGTTCAGGATGTGTACCAAAATTTTCATGATTTTCGGCTTGGGATTTTTTCGGTTTGGTTTCAAGATTTTTTCGGTATGATTTGAGATTTTCGGGAATTTTTTTTTCTAGCCCTAGCTAAGCCCACCCCTCCCCTAGTGTAGATAATATCATTGTTCAAAAAGGAAAAAAAAATCTAATTACTACCTAAACTACAATAAAAATCTCATTCAATATGTAAATTTATCTTTAAACCCATTCAAAAAATGAACCCAAAATCAAAGTATATGTTCTCTCGTCTGACATTCTCTCCTGCTGACGACATTCTTTCCTTCCAATAAGTTAGTCTTCTTTCCTTTCAATTCTTCATAATTTAATAGAAATCAAAATCAAAATTAATAAGATATAGTGAGAATTAATTTATCATTTAGAGTTTTTGTGATTACCAAGTTGGAAAAGCTTGATAACACCCTTTTTGCCCACTTTTGATGCTTTTATGAGCAACATGAGGTGCAGGAAATTCAAGGATATGCAATGAGAAGATTAAGCAGCCCACTTGGTCGTCACTCGAACTCTGAAACAAAAAATAAATAAATAAAACTTGCATAACTCAATTCATACCTTAGTTGGAGGATCCAGAACGTCAAAATCATCATCCATCCATAAAAAAGAACTTAGTAAGTGTTTGAGGGTTTGAGCCAAATAGAACATTAGAGAAAGATTGTGTGATGGTAAGAGTTTAATTATTGAGTGTGTTTTGACTGATAAATTTTAATTTTATTGTTGATTTCAATTAATACTTGGTGGTAATTATACAATAGGGTAAAAAAGGCGATTCATATTTAAAGTTTAAGTTGAGTGTAAAGTAAGATTATATGTATTTAGATAAAATTTTCCTTTATAACCTAAATGGTGATGAAAATAGAAAAACTGAATCTTTTAGTGAAAGAATTAGAATTGTACATCAAGTGGGTATTTATACATAGATATAATGAGTAACAAATAAGTGTTGACTCAACAATTCAACTTAGCAAAAGTTGTACATAGAACTAACTCCAACAATACCAACTAGCTATATGAGTAGTAATCTGATGTAGGTGATGAAGCGAAATATTGAGATTTCTATAGTATTTATAGTGATTAGTATGCATATACAATTCTAAATTTATATACATTAGCAACGGAAGCATGTTATCACATTTTATCTTAGCTATAGTCATGTAAATCCCCTTCAAGAAGCATAGGTTCATATAAGATGCATCTAAGAAACTTATTGAAGAACTAAGTGAAGAATTAGTGTTATACATCTTAGTCTAGATTCTAGACCAATGATGGACCACCTTCAAGACTCCTTGAGCCTTGCCTCCCTTCTTGCTTTCTCCACCTTGAGGATTTAGTACTTTTGGTTCTCCTTGAGTCTCCAAGTGTTGGAGACCTCTAAAGATCTACACCCACAAGTGTTATGAGATGGGTGAGTGGATGACCAAAGAGAGAAGAGATGATTAGCTATTTCTCTCTAAGGTGGCCAGTTTTGTGTGAGAGGAAAGAGAGTTTGTTTTCTCTTTGAGGCAAGAAAGACTCACAAAAACCCTAATGAAACTTTTTCACTAAACTCCCCTTATAAAGGTAAGAGAAGTAAGTGAACTAATTGACTCTCTCTCCCACCCCCCCTCCACTTTTCTTCACCTTATGATTGGACTCACTAAGTGTTTGGCTTGGCTTGGGTTTTTCTCATTTCAAGCCATCTCATGCTTGAATATAAGCCCAATGGGTTTGGGCCAAATGGGCTTAAGAGAACCTGGACTTTTCTTTAAGCCTAAAATAATTTTTCATTGCTTCTATGATCTATTTAGACTTTTTAATTAATCATAAAACTTAATTAATCTAATTAATTAATTAATTCCATAATCCTTTAGTTATCTTACCGCACGAGTGTATCTGTGTACAATCGTTTTAGGTTCTAATTAGAGAGGCAATGAAGTGATTGATATCAATCCAATTGATTGATACTTATACAATCACTTAATGAATTAAAATTTTTAATTCTCGTTCTTTTTTTTGACTACTTATTTAATCATCTAGAAGGACCCACAAGCCATGATCAACATCGAACCATATATCATGGTTACCCAAGCTAATGTAGAATTTGGTTGGAGAACCTATTCAGTTGGAATTACAATGTAACTCGATCATTCTCTAAATCAATACTCTCAATCACATTACTAGGGTATGAATACTTTATGTTAAAACCCTATGTGATCATACTATATTAGAGGATTTAATTGAGTCGTATAGATATATCTTCCATCATTACACTCGCTATTTCGGCCGAATATTTTCCAATCATATCTTAGAGTATTCTTTCTCTTGTACTGAGGACTATAGATTCCTTGTTGAATATTCACATGTCTACATGATCAGGCAACTTAATCCCAAGAATACCGGGACACACTCGAATGAAATGCCTTTGACACCATCAAAGATCAAGTACCTAACCACTAGACAACTATGATTTCTCAGGTCAAAGGACGACTTACATTATCCCAACCAAAAGAGTTACTTGCTTGACATGTGAGTAGACCTCCATGCAAGTACTCTTGTTTAATTGTGTTGAGTGGATTCATTTCCTTAACAAGCACCTACATACTTGTCTTCCTGTCCCTACACAAATGGCTTAAGATTTTCCATCCTTCCAATTGAAGCAGACATAGTATGTACTGGTCTATTCGTATTGTCAGCGTCCCTCTGACAATCCTATGACCAAGATCCTTTTGGACATTATGGTTATGTGAAGAAGGTCTCTATAATCTAACATCTTTAGATTACTTCTTCCATCGATCCATTGTTCATGGACTCACTATTTGGGCGTATATCGTTCATTGAGATAGTCCTAATAAGTGACTTTTTTCCTTTTGAAATATTAGACTTAACCATACATTTAGACATTGTCCTGAAATGTTTCTTCCAAAGATTAACAGGTGATGTTCATGGTTGGTTTATAAACTTGCAATACTTTCATCAAATGATTCCGATCTCAACATGAATTTTCTTGAATTGAACACAAAGTATCTTAAAGAGGAGTTCGTCCTTGATCCTTAACGATCGAAGTCTTTTCTGAAAAATAATGGCTTGTCTAGTATCCTACTAATACCTTTTGAGCCTTCACCATTGAATTTGGGCCCCCGCCAAATCCATACGTTGGTCTAACGTCTAGCCCACGTCCGCTTTACCTTTCGACTCTGCGGTTTTATAAAAAACCAAAAACCCCGGTAACGAAAAAGACAATCGAGCCCTCACCACCATCGCCATGCTCTCTGCTGTCTCGTCTTCCCTCCTTATCTTCCACAAGCCCTTCACTCGCGCTCTTCGACTCCCCCTCCCCAAACTCCCCATTTCTTCAAACCCCAAACCCCTCTCTTCTCTCTCCCCCGCCACTTCTGCTCTTATCCCCAATGCCAGCGGCGGTGGTCGCGCCGGGGCTCCATCTCCGGCCCCGGCCACCGACGACCTCCAGAAGATCGATGTTAACCCTCCCAAGGGCACCAGGGACTTCCCGCCCGAAGATATGCGCCTCCGCAACTGGCTTTTCTACAATTTCCGAGAGGTCTCGCGGCTGTTCGGCTTCGAAGAGGTAGACTATCCGGTTCTCGAGACGGAGGCTCTGTTTATCAGAAAGGCAGGGGAGGAGATTCGAGAACAGGTATGCTGACTTTTTCAGCATTTGTTTTACTTGCATTGCTTGAATTTGAATTGAATACTGACATACATACATATATGTATATATGTGTGTGTATATATATATATATATGTATGTATTTATGTATGTATTTATGTATGCATATATTCATATACCTACATTTGTGCAGCTGTATTGCTTCGAAGATCGGGGAAATCGTCGCGTTGCGCTGAGGCCGGAGCTCACTCCTTCTTTGGCAAGGCTGGTGATACAAAAAGGGTACTGAGATTCTGATTCTGCTGAGCATGTTACTTTGCTATTTAGACTTGGTTGTATAAGTGTATAATGTGTATCTATATATTTATTATTTACTCTTCGATTTCTTTTATATCCAGGTGTGGAAGCTGGAAATTTTGATCCTCGTGTTTTTTTTTTCTGTCCAGAAAATCTCTATCCCTTCCGTTGAAATGGTTTGCCATTGGGCAGTGTTGGCGGTATGAGAGGATGACAAGGGGGCGGCGTCGGGAGCATTACCAATGGAATATGGATGTTATTGGTGTACCTGAGGTTACGGTATGGAGCTGATTCTGCTGGATTGGTTATATGATTATGAATATTTTGTGATGCCTCACACTCTTGCATTGATTGAAATCTCATAATGTACGTCACATTGTTGTATTTGTTTAATTATGTTATATACAATTCCCTGGCAAGCTCGGGTTTTACTTGTTTTGTTTCTCTTCATGTGCTAGGCTGAAGCAGAACTTATTTCTTCAATTGTCACTTTCTTCAAGCGAGTAGGAATTACAGCATCAGATGTTGGATTCAAGGTTTCTAGCCGTAAGGTGTGGGTGGTTTTTTTCTTGCAGGAACTTAGACTATGAGATTCACAGGTCTTCATCAAATTTTTGTCGTTCTAATATTGTTTGTCTGACTGTGGGATTTCTGTCTCCAGAGGCATTGTAAGGCCAAATGATTTTCAAGTTGCCTATCGAAAAAGAAACCGATACGTCCCAAATTAGTTTAGAAAAGCTTTCCTACTGTTTGTGCCATTGAAATCAGTTTTCAAGTCATTTTGGAGTATATAATTATTTATTTTAAATTATGACTACTAGCCTGACTTTTCTACTTACAGGTTTTACAAGAAGTATTGAGGCGTTATTCCATACCCGAAGCTTTATTTGGCAAAGTTTGTATCATCATAGACAAGGTAAATTTTGAAAGGTTGCAAGTTTTGGGTTGCAGCTAATTATGTTCTTGTTTTCTACCATATTATTCTTTTCAAATAATTTTGATGTGAAAGCCATTATGACATTCTATTTTTGTTTGATTATATATTCTTGAGAAAAGAAATTAGGTAATTTTTTATATTTTGTAAAGTTGTTCTTTCTTCAAATTTTTGGTAATAATTTACTGTAAAGTATGTTAGTTGCTAATTCATGTTAATTTATTTAAGATCATTTAACATGCAATAGTTGTAGTTTGATGTTCTGCTTTTATATTTTCTTTTGTATGTGCATATATATGTATCTACATGTGCCTGTTATGGTTAGAGTCCCTGAACTTTGTATGCATATGGTATCTAGATTCTAGTCGTGCTCTTAGTCTGATAGTAAAATGAATACGATATTTTTTGGGGTGTGATATCCACACACCCTTTTTTTGCTTCTCCCACACCTTTTTAGTTTTCAACCATCAAATCGGATGAATTGAAGAAGATCAACGGACATAAGAGTGTGTGAGAAGTAAAAAGGGGTGTGTGGATAGCACACCCCTATTTTTTTTGTTCAATATTTTCTCCATTTTCTTATGTCTAGTGTATCTATATACACTAACAAAAAGATATAGTTTTTTTGTCAAAAGTTTCTAATCCTTTCTGGATTTGAATTGTAAACAGATAGAGAAGATTCCAGTGGATGATATAAAAAATGAGTTGAAATGTGCTGGTGTATCTGAAGAGGCTATTGAACAGTTATTGCAAGTTCTTTCCATAAAGTCATTGACAAAGCTGGAAGGTTGGTCTTATCAATACTGATTCAGAAAGTATTTAAATATAAGTTTTTGGCTATAAAAGGTAAAAATTAATCGTCTTTCCCCCTCTCCAAGACGTGAAAATGTATCGTATGTTTCCCTGATCATCATGCACAAATCATATCCAGCTGTTTGCTTATATGTACTTGTAAGAGGGTATTAGATATTTTGATTTCCTACACGGCTCACCCCACTGTAGATCAAAAGCTTTCATGCTCCATAAAGGCAGTTTTCCAATTGATTAAAGATTACTTTTGTGTAGTACTTCTTTAAAATGACATCACTTGTAAGTTTGAGAGTAGATTATTAAACTTTATGGTGAGAACCTTTGGTAAGTAGTACTTGTTTTGAAATAATCAAAATAATGTTCTGCAAATTTATGCTGTTCTATATGGTGGTTGGTTTTTTTTCACAGCGATGAATGTTACATGAGGCATACCGAAATGATTAATCAGTTCTTTCCTTCGGATTAGTGGACTTTAGTACAAATGATTTTATTTCACTAGCAAGTGAGATGTTTGTTTGTTAAAATGGTAATTGCTAGCTTTAACAGCTCGAAACTTCTTTCTCCAGTTTAAATGTGTCTTAATACAAGAACTCTATATGGTCAAGGTGTTATAACCTACTCTCTCTGGATTTTTTTTCTCTTTGATGTGTACGGTAATAGACTAAAGTTAGCAAATTAGAGAATACCTATACTGGTTCGGCAGAACTTTTGCCTATGTGCAGTTGTCATTTCCCTGGGTAGAGAAACCCGACTTCTTTGATTGATAATAAAGTTACAGTACTTTGGCAAAACCCTAGAACTAATCACCCTTTATCCCTCTCGACTGTCTCTGGCCTTTTCTCACACTTTCCCTAGCCTTGCCGCACCCTATATGTATGTATAAGGTGTGATTTACATGCCTATTTCTGATTAAGTTTCCTTTTCTACATGGAATAGGAAAGTACACTTTCTTACCTATTCCAATTAGACTTCTAGGATTCCTAATCTAATTGTACAAGTAAACTTTGATTCTTTCCTAGTCCTTTTAGGAGAAGAATCGGTACACCTTTAATTTCCCTAATACAATCCTAAACAAACTTGACGAGCCAAAATCCTAACACAAGGAACATTAGTGAAGGTGACAAGATAATGCATAGTACCATAGATATTGAAAATGATAAAGACTTTGCAAAGCTTTTGAATCTTAAGTACTGGTGGATAAACACCAATAGATGACAAAAAGGAAATTATTCAAGGTGTTCCTCTGTAAGAAATGAACGGAGAGATAAATAAACAATTATTGGGGAATGGTGATGATGAAATCAAGAGTTAGCAGTTACCCATAGATTAGAGAGACGAGAAAGGATGTTGAGACTTGAAAGTGGCAAGGGGTAGTGAGAGGCGGTGGGTTCAAATTTAATTTAATATTGTTGAAAAACACGCCCACTACACCTTGTTCTTTAATGTAACTAACGCCAATAAACTAAACTAGCAAATATAGAAAAACTTGGGAACACAAGAATTATACGTTCAACAGAACTTTTGCCTACATCCAGTATTACATAACTTTTGCAAACCCTAGAACTAATCTCAAAACTCTCGGCTGTCTCTGGCTGTTTTCTCTCTAAAAATTAGGCCTTGCCGCGTATTTATAGGCACAGGGTCGACTTACATGTCCCAATGCTGATTGAATTCCTATTTCTAAGTGGACTAGGAAATTACACTTATCAAATCCATATAGACTAATAGAAATCCAAAACTAAATTGAATGAAGAAAACTGAAATGATTTCCTAATCCCTCTCGGACAAGAATCAATATACCTCTAATTTTCCTAAAACAATCCTAAACCAATTAGGACATATTTGATGAGCCAAAATCCTAATAATCTCCACCTTGGTGAGTCAAACCAAGTCTTGATCGTTGCACCCCAGAGTATCTTTGAACCTTATTAAAGTAGCTTTGGAAATCTTCAAGAGCTTTACCTTGGCAATCTTCTTCTTGCCTCATTGCATCTCAAGTGAGGAGGTGCTCCACTTTAATCAATCAATGAGATTGATCAAGTTCAAGCAATGCTTGAACTTCTTGGCCGGCACTATCTTTGTAAGGAAATATGTGGCATTGTCATCCATATGAATCTTTTCAATCCAAATTTCCTTAGACTCCACCCAATCTCTGATTCCGTGATACCTTGCTTCAATGTGCTTTTTATCTTCCAGAAAAAAATTGATTCTTTGCCAAGTGAATGGCACTTTGACTTTCACACTTAAGCCTCACACAATCTTGAGTGATTCCCATTTGACTTACCAAGCCACTAAGCCAAATCGCTTCCTTTCCAGCTTCGGCCAATGCTATATACTCTGCCTCTGTGGTCGACAAAGCTGTAATTGGTTGCAGTAGTGCCCTCCAACTGATTGGTCCTCCTGCACATGTAAACACATAACCAGAAGTTGACCTTCTCTTGTCCAAGTCCCCTGCACTTTCTTTTTGCCTCTCAAACATAATCCTTTGTAGCCAAGAACCATTCAAATAACGCAAAATCCACTTGACTGCATCCCAATGTTGCTTTCCTGGATTTGCCATGTATCTGGAAACGACACTGATTACTTGAGCTATGTCGGGATGTGTGCATACCATTGCATACATGAGGCAGCCCACGACATTAGCATAAGGCAACTTCTTCATTACTTGTTGCTCTTCCTTGGACTTAGGACACTGTTACCCACTTAACTTGAAGTGAGCCGCCAAAGGAGTTGAAACTACCTTTGCTTCTTGCGTGTTGAAATTCTCAAGAACCTTCTGAATATACTTCGCTTGTGATATCCAAATCCTTCCAGTAGTCCTATCTCTCTGAATTTTCATGCCAAGGATCTTTTGTGCAGCACCTAGATCATTCATATCGAACTCCTCGCTCAACATCTTTTTCAAGTCTTGAATTCTAAACTTGTCTTGACAAGCAATTAGCATGTCATCCACATATAGCAATAGCAATATGATCATCCCATCTTGGAACACATGATAGTACACGTAACAGTCATATAAACATCTTCTAAAATTGATTTTCAGCATGAATGAATCAAACCTCTTGAACCATTGTCTTGGAGACTATTTCAGGCCATACAGGGACTTCCTTAGCTGACATACTAGGTTCTCTTTCCCATATTCAACAAACCCTTATGGTTGAGCCATGCAAATCGTCTCCTCTAGATCCCCACGAAGAAACGTTGTCTTCACATCCATCTACTCAATTTCCATGTCATGCTGAGCTGCCATTGCTAAAAGCAATCTGATAGAAGTATGCTTGACTATAGGTGAAAAGATCTCATCATAATCCACCCCTTCCTTTTGTGAGTACCCCTTAGCCACGAGCCTCACTTTGAATCTCACGACATCTTGTTCATGTAGTCCTTCCTTTTTCTTAAATACCCACTTGCATCCAACTAACTTTTTGTCTTTGGGCTTAGGAACCAACTCCCAAACAGAGTTCTTGTAAAGAGACTCCATTTCTTTGTCATAGCACTTATCCAACTATCTCGCTCATCACTTGCTATAGCTTCTTGATAAGTAGTCGAATCTCCTTGACTAATGTTAAGAGCATAATTAACTTCGTCTTGGTCAAACCCAAATCTGTCAACTTTCTTCTTGTTCTGATTAGGTTTGTCCAGTGCTATGCATCTCTGGAATGCAGGTGGATTGTTGGTTGGAGTTTGAACTCTTTGGGATGTTTGGCGGATTGGAGTGCCTTCAATATGTCCTGTTTCTTGGTCCACCTGATTCCTAACTGGTGAACAATGCAGATGCTCTTCTTCTTCCTCAAAACCATCAGATTCGGCCTGTTGCTCGATTTGCTCCACCTAAGCTTTAATGGAATCTTTGTTGCTTCAATTTCAGCATTGTCTGTCTTCTCCTTACTGCTCTCAACTTTATTCAGAGGCATGGTTGTCTCATCAAAGACAACATCTCGACTGACAACCTTTTTCCTTTTGTTGAAATCCCAAAGCTTGAAACCCTTAACTCCTTTCTCAAAACCTAAGAACATGCAATGTGTAGACTTCAGTTTGAGCTTGGACCTTTCATCACTTGGAATATGTGCATAAGCACTATAGCCGAACACCCTGAGCTTGGAATAGTCCACCAGCTTCTCAGACCATACCTTTTCTGCACTCTTAAAACCGAGAATTGTAGATGGTGACTTATTAATCAAATAACTTGCATGATTAACAGCCTCTACCCAAAAACTATCAGGCAATCCTGCATGAAATCACATGCTCGTCTCTCTCTCCATGAGAGTTCGGTTCATCTTCTCAGCAGCTCCATTTTGTTGGGGATTCTTCTTTACTGTGAAGTGCCTTATGATGCCTTCCTGCTTGCAGTAATCGGTGAACTCATTACCTGTATATTCACCTCCATAGTCACTTCTCAAGTACTTGATCTTTCTTCCAGTTTGATTCTCGGTTTATGTTTTCCATTCCTTGAACTTTGCAAAAACCTCGGATTTCTGCTTCATGAAATAAACCCAAACCTTCCTAGAAAAATCATCCATGAAAGTAACAAAATACTTGGCTCTGATACCAATTGTTAAAAAACACGCCCACTAAACCTTGTTCTTTAATGTAACCAATGGCAATAGACTAAACTAGCAAATATAGAAAAACTTAGAAACATTCAAGAATTATACTGGTTCGGCATAACTTTTGCCTATGTCCAGTTGTGATTTCTCTAGAAATCACCGCTCCTTTGATTAATAATAGAGATTACAGAACTTTTGCAAACCCTATAACTAATCTTAAAACTCTCGTCTGTCTTTGGCTGTTTTCTCTCTAAAAATTAAGCCTTACCGCACCCTATTTATAGGCATAGGGTCGGCTTACATGTCCCAAGGCTAATTAAATTCCTATTTCTACGTGGACTAGGAAATTACATTTATCCAAATCCAAATAGACTTCAAGAAATCCAAACCTAAATTGAATGAAGAAAACTGAAATTCTTTCCTAATCCCTCTAGGACAAGAATCGGTATACCTCTAATTTTCCTAAACCAATTAGGACATATTTGACAAGCCAAAATCCTAAAAAATATGAACTATGGCCACAATAAATTGAACTGTGTAACTATTTCAAAAAGCTATTGGGGAAGTTATTTTTGGCAATCGTTTGTGAGTGGAGCTTCCAAGGTTCTATTTTTTGAGAATATCGCGTTTAAGAATGGGAAAAATAGAACAAACTCTGGAAATTGAAAACAAATAACCAAGATAAATAACACCAAGAATTTACGTGGTTCGGCAATGTGCCTATGTCCACAGGACAACAACAACAATCTTTCACTATATCAATAATGAGTACAACCAATAATCTTGCCAAATCTCAAGAACTAGAAATTGACGAAAAACCTGAAAGAACAAGAATAAGAAATACATTATCTCTTTTATTTTCTCTCGCACACTTTTTACACATTTTACAATTTATTGTTTTGCTCCCTTCTCAAAACTAGTACTATAGTCCCTTTATATAGACATAATAAAGGTCTTCTTCAATAAGGATTACTAATCCTAATTGGAATCTAGTTATGAATCCTTCTCCAATTGAGAAACTAACTCCAATTGGGAAAAAAATTTAATCCTCTAAGACTATAATTCCTTAGACTTAGGACAACCTTATCATAGGCTGGAAAAAAACCCAACACTATTTATTGCGTGACCAGAAACAAAAAAAAAAAAAAAGAAGTTAAATACTTTTTGGTAGTAGATGGGACAATTATTAATATGCGTTCCATGTTTTTCTTATGTAGAGATACTTGGAGAAGCAGGGGAAGCAGTTGCTGATCTGAAACAACTATTCTCTCTTGCTGACAAATTTGGTTACTCTGAATGGATTCAGTTTGATGCTTCTATTGTTCGTGGCCTTGCCTACTACACTGGTATTGTCTTTGAGGTTAGGATTTCCATTTTGTTTTCCCTCCCTCAATTTTGACATTGCAGATATTAGTCATGCTCGTAGAATGAGTTGTGTTCTACCATCTTTTCCATTTTCTTTAGTTGTTTATTGCTCCTGGTAACTGATGATATTCCTTTATAGTGTGGTATTACCTTTTCCTGTGTGAATAATGTCCTGGGGGTCATATATTGTACTGCCATCTATTTTAGGCGTCAGTCTGCGGTGAGGATGTAGTTTGTGGACGTTATCATACTGCGAGTTTATACAATTATAAATTTTACAGCAGTGAAATGCATTTAACTGACCTGTGAGATAAAGTTCGTAGCATTTGTTAAATACTACACTAGAATATTTGGGAGTTCTGTTGGCTGTAAGTGAAAAGTTGTTTGCGATACCGTCTTTACTTATGATCCAACTGACGTGGGACATGTGCTATCATGTGAAAACTTGTCCCATTTCAGATGTAGAACATACTGGAAAGTCTTCCGTATTCTGCCTATGCGTAAGAACAAACTTTTGTGATGATGACAGAAAAATAAGCAGCCAAATGGCAAACTGATTATGTCTATGCATGATTACTCAATTACAATGATTAGATCTCCCTTGTATGTATATAAAGTTGTTTCTACTTCGTCATTAATGAAGACAGTCCCTGACAGATCAATTTTATTTTCAGGGTTTTGATAGAGGAGGAAAGTTACGAGCCATTTGTGGTGGTGGGCGATATGACCACTTGCTTTCGACTTTTGGTGGTGATGACATTTCTGCTTGTGGATTTGGGTTTGGTGATGCTGTTATAGTGGAAGTAAGTCAAAACTTGTGTAATATATGCTCATATATATCCTATGCTTTATGAAGAGGTTTTTTTTTTTCCTTAAACTACTTTAAAATGGTGTATGTATTGGATAATGCTCCCAATATGAAAAAAATTCTTCATTCTTGGCGTCATTTTTTTTATTTCTCATCTCATTTTTGTTTTGTTTGTCATTTGTTTGATATTTTTGTGTGTGGATTATAGTTGCTTAAGGAGAAGGGTCTTCTGCCGGAAGTCAGCCTGCAAGTAGAGAACATTGTGTGTCCTCTTGATCCTGGACTCCAAGGAGCAGCTGCAACAGTTGCCACCATACTCAGGGGAAAAGGTCAAAGTGTTGATTTAGTCCTGGAGAACAAACCGCTTAAATGGTATTTCCTGCCCTCTTATAGGTGCTTGCAGATTTCCATACCAATCACTGTATTTATAATATTTTATCATTCAATGGTTTGATTTTTTTCTATGGCAGGGTATTCAAGCGTGCATCACGAATAAATGCTAACAGGCTGATATTGGTGGGAGATTCGGAGTGGCAAAGGGGTATGGTGAGTGTGAAAGTCCTTTCTTCCGGCGAACAACGTGAGATCAAACTTGATGAACTAGAGTGATAAGAATTTGATTATTTGGAGGTTGTAGTGTTTATTTTTTTATCTTTAGAGGTAGGTTCAGTTTATTATTGTACTTATGTACTTACACAATTTTTTGGTCAGAATGTTAATGGAAATAACTGATTGTCTAGTTGATTGCGATAAAGCTTGTGTAATCATTTTTCGATTGTTCTATCCATTAATTTAATTGTTCTGTAACATTTGTCACGTTTCTTTGAACAAATACTAAGAAATTAATGCAATTAGCATATTCTTATATTCAGTACGAACAAATGATCTGTTCAGAATAGTAGGTTGTAGATAGTACAGTGCTGCATAAACATTTCATTTGTTGGCTCCAAGACATGGTATCCTGTTTTAAGATGACAAGCATAATAACTGGAGGCAATAATGGTTCATTATATGAAAATAAAAGAGAGAAGATCTCAGACAAGACTCGTAGCAATAGTTAATCCTTTAGCAGTGCTGTGTCTGCTGATTGAAACCCTTTTTGATGGTTAATGAGTGCAGATATGTGATATTTTGACAAACAGATATTGCATTTGTTACTGTTTTGAATGGAAATGAGGTAATCTTGTCTTCTGTGTATTTATGTAAGATCTTATTAGCCCCTTCTTTTGCTGTAATGTTTTGGTAGGATGCTGTGATTGGTGTAGCAATAGTTTTCGTTTGCAGCCTTTTGGTTTGCATTTTACCTTTGTGAAAAATTAAGGTACCTTTCACCTATTTGAGACTGGTTTCTTTGATGCTATGTCTTTAAGTTTATGCTTCTTGGTCTTTACAAGCTTCTCAGTGGCCTCTAGATAGAATTTCTATGAATGCTGCTTTGGTTTGATGGAATGATGTGACATTTTTGAATGATATCCAGAAATGAAGTGACCTGCATCACACAATGTGCTTTCCTCTAAATTCAAATTTTTGAAATACAAGAAAATTTAGAGAAATTTGATTTATGTGAAAGAATGTCTGCCACTTTGAGAGTGCAGATTGTGTTGAGAATGGTAATGGTTGCTCCGAGTTGAAGAAGAATGTGACCCAGTGTCTTTCTGACGAAGAACAGTGCAGATGACTTGAAGTCTCTTCCAGACTAATGCTCTGCCGAATCATGAAGGTACTGTGATCTTTTCCTTTCTGAAAGTCGGTTTCTATGTACATTTATTTTTTTTAGCTCGGAGGTATTTATTAACTGATTTAGAGCAATTTCAAAATTCTCATTCCACAGAGAATGGCCTCTTTTGGTCACTTGCGTAAAGAGATTTGAGGGATAGGGATAGTGTGGGAGGAATTTTATTTTATTTTTTGGTCTGGAATGTGGGAGGAATTTGTAAGTTTAGATCTAGAAAAGGTTACTGCAGGCAGCAAAATTATTAGGTCAGACCATTTGCTTACTGCTAAGTTCCTTACAAAGACAAATCTCCAAACGCGTAGGCTAGCACTGAGTGTATGATCCATATCTTCCACCATGGTTCGCCCTATCCATCCCCATTGTCCATTTAAAGGGTTGAGTGCTTCATGCACTTGCTGTTGCAGTATATAAGGTGAAACAGTAAATTATTTGTGCAGCATATTATCATCTGTTGAGGAGTGCTGAATATGTTTACAATCTTACAATCCAAGTAATATAAGTGACGCTGCTATTTCTATTTAGCATTTGTGTTTTTTATAAGTAAATTTTAAGGTAGTCGAAGAGGAAACATTGAGCATTTAAGACTAGAATTAAAAGTTCCAGAGGGTAAGTGAGGATATCGCTGTTGACCATTTGTAAAAACAGCAATTTGTTGCGCCGAAGCCCAAATCAGATAGCTGGACACACGTATAGCCAAATAAAAATTGTTTTCTGAAGTCTTGTAGATGCATAAAACATGATATGTGTGCACCGAAAGTAGATACAAACGCTAACTTCTGACAGATGTTCTGTATTGTTGGTTTCCTGTGAAGGATTCATTGTTTAAAGTTGTCATTGAGATAATAACATGATTCTCAGGTTGTTTTTTTTCTTGTGAAATGGTCCAAGATTGCTGTATTCTTCTACGAAGAATTCTGCAGTTAAATTTTGAATGTTCCAATTGAATATGTGGAAAATTTTCTCTTTATGAAACACAAATTTGATTAATCTGTGCTTTACTAGTTGTATTTGAGACATTATTGGGCATCATCAGTTGTATATGACCATGCATCTACCGCTCTCATCACATGACGCACGACTCATCATGCAACTCACATGATAAGAGATAGTCCAGTGATTATATACAAACAGTGATAGGGCATATTTTCTTATCCTGATTTGCAGCCTAACAAAGAAAACCGGAGTCGCACGAATCTCAAGCCCCCACATGGGTGTTTTGGAATTGTGCATATCAGAATGAGCGGCCAAATTTGAGGCAGCTGCTCATGAGCAGTCATGTAATGGATTCCAAACTCTTGTACAATCTTCGTTGGAAGTTTGTGATTGACGGAGGATATTTATGTACTTTCCATTTATTGCCCTCCATACAACATGATTCTGGAAAGAAAGGTGAAAGTAGCTCCATAATTCATCGCATCTATCTAGCTGCTTCTATTTTTTCCCTGCTTTCTTCTGCTGGTTTTGGTCGTTTTCGCCTTCTTGTTCATTGTCCTAGTAGTGTCTCAATCCAGGCAGATCTATCACCACTGCCGCTGCGACCACATGTATGCCGCCTCCCAAATCTCAATCAACGATCATGGTTGATTGAGTGAGGGCATGACTGCAGTGGCTCGGTTCTCTTTTTTTTTTTTTTTTTTTTTTTTTTTTGTCAAACGATAGATTTATTAAATTAGATTTTAGATTAGAGAGCCGACAAAGTTCAAATCCACGTCGTGGTACAAAGACAACATTCATTTGCAACACCACTTACCACTTGCCAGTGGCCGACTTCTCTACTTTTGTGGCATTTTCCTAGCAGCTAGACGCCACTACGCAAAAGCAGATTCACGTTTCCCTTTCTTGATTTGATACGCACCCGCCGAAGTTTTGAAAGGTTAAAACTCCCTCATGGGCCGAACGTTTTTTCGCATACTCACTCGAATGTGTCGGGGGAAGTTGGTTGAGACGAGGGATTTATGAATCTTAATTATTAAACTGGTTGCCATTTAGTATTATTATTTAGTGATTTTTTTTTTAATTTTAAGTGAGAGGTATTAGATTCAATTATCGTTAAATTGAATTTGAACCACATTATTGTTAGTCTATTATGAGGTTTAATTTTAGTGTAGAGAATATCATTTGTTTAAAAAAAAAAAAAATTTGTTGAAATAGTCAAAATTTGAAACTGATGATATGTTGATCAAACTTTGATGACATATAAAAAGTGACCATTTCAACAATTGAATTTTGTATGTTCATCATTTCAACAAATTTTTCATTATCTAAAACTACATTAATAAAACCCTCTTTTTTAGCCAAAAGAGGAATCATGAGCAATAAAGTAAATTCACACAAACTAAATTTTATAGTTTTTTTTTGCCCAAAGATGATCCTAACATGCTCTAATTTTGAACAATAAAATATAAAAAAAGAAAAGGCCAAAAGAAAACTTCTCTCTCTAATCCACATTCCTTTTTCATCCCCTTCTCCTTCCCATTTTAAAATAAAAATAAAAATTATTTTCACACACAAATTGTGGAGCATATGCTAGCTTCTTAGGAAGAAAACCAATGACTTGTCTACTCATTGGAAATATAACGGAAGTCATTATGAATCGAGGAAGTCAAAACTAGGAGAGAGAAGGAATGAATCCAGGAAGTTAATTATCTTATAATCAATCAAATTTTCGATTTTGAGGTGTGGAATATGAATTATAAAGCTACATATTTTGTAATTCCGCATGTGGGAGTAAACACATAACAAGTTTTCTTCTCAAGACGATTAAAAGATGGTGAATGTTGTGGTCTATTTTATCTGATAGGGAGAGAGAGGGCCGACGACACAAAGAGAGAATAGAGAGATGTGTTTGTAGGGTTGTGTAGAGGATATGCTATTTTTCCTACTTAGTGCCTTTACTTATAGTAATAAGAGAGGGAAGAAATCCTTCTCCTTCAAGGAATACAAGTCCTAACAGGGAAGAATAACTAGAATCAACTCTAATTTAGAATTTACACAATCACACTTAAAAAGAAGTTTATAACAATGAAGTATTCCTTTATAAAATTTTATAAAGGGGAATTTGCATAAACACCACTTGAACTATTAGGTGTGTGTGCATTTGCCACCCAAACTTAAAAGTTTTGTCCATTTACCACCTAGACTTAAATTTTGGTGCCAATGTACCACCTTCGATAATATATGCTAAATTTTTCCTTAAAGATAATGAAATGAAATGTTGAAAAGAGATGAAAAAAAACAATGGGGTTTACCATACCTGACTTAATGACTTTCCTTTATCCCCACGCCTCCACCTACTGGATATTAGCCCGCCCCCGCCGCCCCCCCCCCCCCCCCCCCCCCACCAAACCAACCCCACCCCCACCCCTCCTCCTTTCTCCCCGGCACAATCACTTCCACCACTATTCAAATTTCATGACATTTAGGCCATCTTCAACCGAAGGAGGGTCAGATGGCTCCCTTTAACCCTATAGCCCTCCAAAAAATTATATTTTAATGAACAGTGTCAAACCATATTTCATACCATTTCCAACCGAGGAGGCCAAAGGGCCATGGGCCAAATATAGCCCTATGACAAAAAACCATCTCCAACCGAGGGGGCCGAACTCTTCAGATATCTTGTCGATACGTAATCTCAATAATTTTTTGGATATGATTTCGAGTGAAATGTGTCATTAAAGTGAGTAACTCTCCAGATTTTTTGTCGATATGTAATCTTAATAATTTTTTGGATAGGATTTTGAGTGCCACGTATCAAGATGTAATTGGTTGTGCAAATTTTAGATAAGATTCTTATCTATGTGACACTTCTTATCTTCAGCTTCCAATGTCCATAAATAGGTTGGATATTGGGGTATAATTCACACACCTTCATTTTTGCCCTCTCCAATATCTCTTTCAATTCAATCTCTCTCAATTCAAGTTTGCAATGAATTCTAACTTTGGATCCTCTTCGCATTCCAACTGGGGAGTCCTCATCCAATTTCGAATTGGAAGATAAATGGGCGCATATGAGATGAGAAGATGAGGAGTCCGATGAAGAAGATGAAGCATGGCGTAACACAACATATATGGCAGTAATGGTTGGGGTCATGACGTGTGAGGCAACTGAAGAACAACCTCAATGGGGTGGTTCTATTGTTGGTCGCTCTTATAAACCACGAAATGGGGTATTACTTGGCAGATGGCATTTAACCCAAAGTGGGCGACATTTGTCCAAGCAATTGCAAACCTTGTGGATAATGCCCAAAGGTGGTTTACCTTACACCAAGAGGCAAACTGGAAAGATGTTGAGGGAGCTTTCGATATTCTACAAGTATGGTGGAAGATCATTAAGGAACTGGCAAGAGGGTGAAGTTGAGATAAATTGAACTCTATCGTGATGTCGTGCAACATATGTTACACAACATAATTGTGGAGGATGAGCGAGATGGCTATATTGATAGAGAGTCTGATGACGACCAAGATGATCCAAATAGGTCAAGGAGGGCTCGTGCGAAAATATATGATGGGCCTAACTTCCTTTGGATCCAAGAACTGGTAATATCTCTTTAAATGAGTACATGAGGTATGATAGGATGATACGTTCGCATGCCACAAACAAGTACCTACAACATGATTTTGTTACACATCTTTGGGCCAAAAGAACCATGGAGGAGGCGTTTAAGTTTTATGTTGTTAAATGTTATTTAAGTTTGAATAACTCCCCCAAGTAGTACTAGGGTGGAGATTGTGTTGTTTAATGACTTAGGTAGTTATAGGGAAAAAAAAATACATTTTTTTTTTAATAACAAAATTTGTCCAAAAAAAAAAAAAAATTTAATGCAACAGTAACCTAGCGTTAGCATGACGTCAGATAGCTGTTGCTTTTGAATTTTGGGTTGGGTTAGGGCTGGCTGGCTGGCTCTTTTGAGCCAGCTATTTGGCTTGTTTTCCAATTTTTGGCCCGGTGGGGCCCACGAGTCATTTGGCCTAACCCTCGATTGGAGACGGCTTTCATGTTATTTCGAGCTATTTTTAGCCTTATATCAGTTGGAGATGACCTTATATCAGATCCAACCCGATCTCATAACTCAAAGCCTTAATACCACAACCCGATTTCGAACCCTGCGACTCATAATCCCATTTCTTCCCTTCCACTGCGTTTCTTGTAACTTCCTTCCCAACTTGAATTATTTATCCCTCTCCCACTCCATTTTTTCTCTCGTTTCCTCTCTCAATCCCTCTATCTCGGCCTTCTATAGTATATTTCCTTCTCTTCCCTCTTTTTAATTGTTTAAATAAATTTAAATATTTTGATTAAAGGTTTTTAGATATAAATAGACAAAATACCCTTAAACTTAATGACACAGTTGGCAAAACATAACAGAGGTGGCAATTTAGCACCAAATGAAAGTCTATGTGGTAATTTGAACAAACATTTAGTATGCATGGTAAATTAGCACACCCTAAAAGTTCAAGTGGTACTTGTGCAAATTCCTCTTTTATAAAAATGAAAATTTTATTCAATAGAGATTAGAGTTTTTCTATTTAAGACAAGACGGACCGTCCTCATTCCAAACTTAGGAAACATGTCAAGCTAAATGGTTGGTTGATAACTATTTTGTTTTCACATTTTAGCTTATAGTTTTCACTTTTTTGAAATTTTCAAAAAAATAAAAAAAAGATAACTAAAAGGTAAAAACTCAAGGCCAAATTTTAAAAACTCACGAAAGTTTTATTTTCATTTTTTTCTAAATGAAAACTAAAAGTAGTTATTAAAGAAGATTTCAGTTTTGGGTTGATAAGTATACCAAAATTGAAAATTAAAAATAAAATAATTATCAAATGGATCCTAAGTAAATATATGCCAACTTCTTTTAGATTGAGAAAAAAAATTAAGATGGGTCAATACGCACGAGTGGGAATCTCATCTTCCTGTCGCAACTAAAGTTTGAAGTCAATAGAAAACATGCTTAGTTGTGGTTTCAAGAAGAATGTTCATAGTCACAATTAATAAGAAACATGTGACTAAAGTGGTTAAGAGTACTTATTGATTCACTAAGGATGTTTTGTTTGATTTGCTCCTCTAAACATGAAGAAGGCAAAAAATAATTGAAAACTTTAAAAGTAAAATCTATTAGAGTAACTCACATAAAACGAGTTAATCTTCACCTCTACATTCCTCACATAAAATGTAAGTGAGAGATGTTGGTGAGGGTAACGACAGATATGAGTGGAAAGTGGAGGGTGGAGGCTATGGTCCGTGGAGGCTATGGTTCGGTGGACGGGCATGAGGATTATTTGTACGTGCCCTCATTTTATTGGCTGACACTTCAACTCCCACGTGCTTCTGTCCATTCCGTCACGTGGTCAGTGGTCTCTCTCCACTCTCCTGTCTCTGCGTACTTGACTCTTTCTTGTCCTCATACGTACAAAGTCGATACACTTTGCCAAACCCTAGCAAGCAAATTTGCAAATTCCTACGCAGGGCCACCAAGGATCATCAAATTATTGGAGGAAAATGATGCTCTTTTTATCCTTATGCTTATTTGTTTTTGTCAATTAAAATAAGTATAAGTTATGCATTTGAAGAAAAAATTTGTGTAAAAATAGTTACCTTATTATATAACTAACATATGGGCGCACACAAAGTATACGAGAAAATTTTTTATTTTTGTTTTTAAAATAGAAGGAGAGAGGAAGAGAGTGATAGAGAATGTGGCAGTGAGAAGTTTTTTATTTTTTATTTTTTTTAATTAGAGGTATGTTAGGCTTTAAAAAACACAGCAAAATTTGGTTGTGTGAAATTACATTTATGCCCTATATTTCTTATTCATGTTCTCTTTTAATTAGATGGTTAAGCTGGTAATTTCATAAGATTTTGATTGACAATAAGTGTTTTATTAATTAGTAGTTACCGTCTCTCATATTCACTTTCTCAATATACTCTTTTCATTTGTAAATTGTGGGTTGTCTAGTCAAAGCTTTTCTAGTCGATCCATTACGTCTCGAGTTAAAATTTTCCCCCGTACTTTTTTTTTTTAACAAACGATATTATTTACAATAAAGAAGAAGAGATGATTTAGCCTCACAATGGACTAATGATAATAAAAAAAGATATTTATTATTCATTTTCATACTGCAATTAATTTTCCAATTTTTTGTCGTTTCATATAATAAAAAGATGAGATCTACTTGTATATTGTCCTCTCTCTCTCTCTCTCTCTATATATATATATGTATGTGTGTGTGTGTGTGTGTGTGTGTATATGAATCTCACAAAGACCGTTAATGGAGAAAACTTGTGCCTGTCTTTGCAGGGGGCTGCAGATTATAGTATTCAAATGAAATGCCATGGGCAAGGTGGCTTCATTTATCTGCGTTTGCACCTGCACCTCTAATTTGGTCTCTGCAGTGGGTTTTTCCTCACTATCATCATCACATGCACTGCACTGATGTCTGATGATGATGAACTCACTCGCTCCCTCAGGGATCCATGTAAAGGTGCAGGTGTAACTGCAGACAAATGCCTTCTTGGTTCTCTCGGCTCTCATTAAGTGTTGGAAACAATGGAGACACGTATTTATAAGGTAAGAAATTGATATTTCAGTAGCTCTGTATTCAAAGTTATATATATTTTAATCTGATCAATCTAGATATCCTGCCTTTAAACTAAGATAACCTTTTCATTGAGATACGTACCCTTTTTGTGTAGGAATTTTTTGTGCAGGACGATAGTCTTTTGTTAAATGATAAATTTTGTATCAATAACACATCAATATATATGTTTTATTATTAGCATGTTATCTATAATTCTATTGACGCTTTACCTACGGTTTGTTTTTAACTAAGAACGGACATGATGTTTAGAGAAGAACTCCCCTTTTGTGTATCTGATGAAATGCGACAAACTTATTAGTGGACTGAAGCAAGTTCTTGTTGGTTTGTGTGTGTTCTCAAATTTTCTTTTTCCCCTTCTCAATGTTTCTCATTGTCTTGTTAGTTGTTTACTATGAAGTATGGCCAAAATATGACAAGAAAAAAAGAGACCAAATATATATGAATTGATCAAGATGAAATGCAGCTAGTGTATCTAGCTAGCTACATGCATTATAGTTCCTAGACAGTAAACCGCAAATGAGATTCTGAGTCTAAAATTAATTTTTAAAACAGACACAAAATGCGTATGAGAAGGATTAGCTAATTATTAGTAGCACTTTAAAATAATCATATATGCACATCGCTCTTGTTTTTTACATTAGGAATGATGAGTGCCGAATTAAGAGTGCCATTAATATTGACCCCAAGATTTAACTAAAACATATACAGTATGATGCAAGTTTTAGGGTTTGGATGTGTCTTTGATGATTGTGTATATGTAGTGTGGTAGTGATCCTTTTGTATCCAGCCGTTTGGTAAAAGGATTATTTAATCATTAGGTAAGAATATGAGTATATATCTTAGCCAATGGGCAGTAGGATGGAGATATTCACGATTATATAAATTATTAAGGGTTTGGCTTTCATACTTTGATGTGAGATTCATATTCTTAATACGTTTAAATTATACATCTTCAGCCTCACTTCATAATATGGTTATGGCCCGTGGGTTCTCTTCATAAATAATGCATTCCAGGATGTTGCATAAGAAGCCACAATCAAAAACATAAAAAAATAAACAAAAATGCTACTCTTACTCTATATATATCGTATGTTTGTTCTATAAATAGAAGGCCCCACAAATGACAAATATCAAAATCTTGTCACCAAATCTTTATTGGCAGTTTGCAACAAAATTGCTAGACAATTTGTGGTTCCAATATATATATGTGTGTGTGTGTGTGTGGGGTATTTAAGGGAAGGAATTTTCATTTTAAGAACGGAAATTAGTTGTGGGGTCTACACCACATCGAATTTCAATTATCCAAACTATCTATTTTCAAGTCGCATCTCTTAAATCATTTTTGCAAAGTATTAATCAAATCGGAAATATTTGAGACACATAATTGAGTTCAAAGAAATTAATGAATACTTTGTTCTATAAGAAACAATAAAATTTCATTGTGATAATTAAATGAACAACTTGTTTCGAATTGAATTAAATTTTTGCAAATCATGATCTATGTAAAACGAGTCTCATAACTAATCCTTATTTTTTGAAAAAAATAAAGCTCGCTTCCCTTAAAGAGCCTACACACACACACAAACAATTTGGATGAAATCTAGATGGATTACATGAGAATTTGTGCATTTATCACTATTATTGTTCGAGTCCTGCTGTAATTCTCCTTCGTTGTAACTCAACCACCAAAAAAAGAAGCAAATGAAAACATAAAAATAAAAAATAAAAAATAAAAAATAAAAACTAATGAAAAAGACGTGAAAATTTTGAGTTTTAATGATAAAGACAAAATAAAGGGTAAAGTGAATAGTATCAGGTTAACTTTTTAATGTAAAAATGTGGTTTTTTGTTAAACTGAATAGTACCGGAAGCTTTTCGTTAAAATTTCCCACAAAAAAATGGAATGTTACTGACTTGGTTCTAGGTACTCTTCGGATTGGAGTGGAAGAACGGGAGAGATTCTCGAACGAGAAAAATGATCCAATAACTTTAAAAGAATTGAATGAGAAATCGTATGAAATGAAAATCTCATAAACTCGAACATGAAATAGAAAAAGATTCACAACTATCGGATGCTGGTATGCTTGTTACCCATGATTTTATGGGAGTTTTAACGAAAAACTCATGATACTGTTCACTTTAACGAAAAACCATATTTTTACACTAAAAAGTCAAACCTATACTATTCACTTTACCCTTTAATTTGTCCTTATCGTTAAAACTCAAAGTTTTCAAGCCCTTTTCATTTATTTTCCTTGATTTTATACATACTGCTACAGTACTACTTTTAACGGACTACTTCAATTATACTAAGCCTTGCTGACCTTTTTTTCACCCTTATTTTGTAAAAACGAATTCAACCAGTAGCTTCCATTTTTGAGATGTGTATAAACAATGTCCTAATTTAATTCCATCTGCACGATAATTTAATGAATGTAGCTAATTAGCTGAAGCTTTTGATTAAGGGTCAATTTTGGGGTTGTTGTACTTGAAAAAAAAAAAAAAAAAAAAAACTGTTTTTGTTGTGTTTTAATAATAATTAGTTGCAAAATAAAGCAGTTGATCATTTGGTAAACTGGATTTTTTAAAAGTGCTATGAGTATAAAAACAATGTGAAATCGTTTGATAAATTTTAATGTAAAAGTTATATAATTGTATATACGGACCAAAATAGACATGATAGTGTGTCGAATGACGATGATGACAACAACGACGGCAAGGGCAATGGTTGTGATGGTGGTGGTGGTACCAATAAAGGGGAGTGGTGGTTGCGCTACAGAGGTAAGAATGGTGGAAGGAGCAGTAGTGGTAGTTGTGTTTATGGTGGCGGCGGTGGCCGTGGCGGCAAAGATGGTAGTGATAATTATGGTTGTGGTAGTAGTGGTTGTAGTGGTGGTGGGTATGGCTGTGGTGGTAGTGGTCATCGGGTTGGCATTCTTAGCCAGTCAAGTAGCCCGTTTGAGGGGCCATTTTTTTTTCTTTTTTTTTTTTCAAGCTGAAATTTAAAATAATAATAATAATAATTCTAATTTTTTTTCCCTATAAATGCCTAAGTCATTTCTAAACCATTTCGCATATCCTTTTCATAAACGCCCCCTCCCTTACCTCTTCCAATAATCTAAATTTAAAATTTTCAGTATTTTTAAATGGCCACAACTTCAACCAAAGGATAAGAAATCCAGATGCTTATTCATTTAACGACAAGTGGCACTCAAAATTTGTCCGGAAACCCTATTCTAATATGGTAATTTATTTCAATTAACCAATAAAATTAAAGAACAAACTTAAAATAATAAATAATTGAGTGGGTGAAAAATTACACCCTCTGTTAGAGATGGTATATAAATATGGTTTATCACTGTTCATTAAAAAAGTAATTTCTTGCAAGAAAAAAGTAATTTCTTGCAAGGTTATAAATTGGACAGGGGCTAATCATAGCTCCTTTGGTTGGAGATGGCCTAAGAGATTAGGGTTTGTAGTGGTACGTGGTAGTCATTGGATTTGTAACCCATCCAGATCCTTTTTAGGATCCTCACATTCTAGCCTTTCATTGCACATCGTGCAATCAAAAATCATTTTGAATTTTTTTTATTTAAAATTAAACACAAACAATACTTAACAAAAATTGGCCACATGAAGTACGATGGATGGCTACGATGTGAAGATCCCTAGGATCCTCACAAAGAGGATTTGGAGAGGATCCTCATCCATGATCCTCTCCCATGGTCACTTTGTTCTTGGAAGAGAAAATATGTCTAGAAGAATAAATAATATCATTTTTTAAAACTAATAAGCGGATTACAGGAATTAAAATATTCATTAAAGGCTCAACTTCGCTTTCTATTAAAGCAGCTTTAAAAAGGAACCTCTAGGCTGCTTTTAAAAGCTATTGTCTAAAGGGCATTGCTTTTTTCAGTGCAAGTATGATATTCATATATTAAGAAGAAACACATACAGTCACTTTGTACTATGGTCTAGTAGTATTCGTCTTCACTTGTAAGTGAGAGGTCTTAGGTTCGATTCTTGCCAAAGGTGAATTTGAACCACATTATTGTTAGCCTATTGTGAGGCTTAGCCTACTTCTCCATCCCTTAGGCCATCTCCAAGCGAAGGGTCCAGAGGGCCAGAGGGCCGAAAATAGCCCGAAAATCGTCTTCAACCAAGGGCTAGGCCAGAGGGCTGTGGAATCTAAGAGGGCCCCACGAAATCAAAGAGGGCTAGAGGGCTGGCTAGAAAAATCAAATGCAATGGCTAGCTGATGTTAACTAGCTGTTGAATTTGAACTTTTTTTTAGGTTTTTTGGGCCTTTTTTTTTGTAATTCTTAAAAATTCTAATTTTTTTTCCTATAAATACCTAAACCATTCATTCACCATTCCTTTAAATTTAATTTGTAGTTTTTAAATTTAATTCGTCGTTTTTAAATATAAGTTGTAGTTTTTAAATTTAAGTTGTTGTTGGATTTGAATTTAAGTTGTTGTAGTTTTTAAATTTAAATAATAAATTATGTTTGACCCTTTGGCCCTCGGTTTGGAGACGATTTTTTGTAACAGGGCTAAAACAAGCCCTATGACCCTTTGACCCTCGGTTGGAGATGGAGGCAAATATGGTCATGTACTATTCATTAAAATATTAATATCTTGAAGGATCAGAGGGCTAAAACGAGCCCTCAGTTGGAGATGGCCTTAGTATAGAAAATATCATTTGTTCAAAAAAAAAAAAAAAAAAAGAAGGAACACGTACAACTTATTGAAGGCATTGTTGTCTAGAGGGCATTACTTTTAAAATAAGCAAGATATTTTATTTTTACCAAACACTTTTTACAGCTGAACTTTAAAGTGAAGCATATCTTGATAAATAAAAAAAATGCAATATCAAACTGGGCCTAAAGCTTATGTTATAGTCTATAATAAATTGTAGTTTCACCAGCGCATTCCATTGTTAGGACCTGTCCCTGATTTTATGATATTTTATTACTAAAGAAGTAAATTAACCAAAATGCCCTAGAGGCGAGAATGTTGACTTCCATTGACCGTCGTGTGGCGACATGTATAATCCATTATTTTACCGTATTCGTGTAGGACATGTTGCTACACACGCATGAGCGCAAGCAGAATCAAAATTGGATTACGATAGAGGTTTTATGGAACAATGAAGTCGAGGGGCAAAATTAGTCAATTCACTATCTTAGATTTCTATTTAGATTTCTGTTCAGTGGGGCCCACACCCATTTCTCCCTCTTTTTTCTCTTGCCCTATGTCACTCTTTCCCCACACTCTAGGAACTCTCTTGATCTCTCCTCCCTCATT